TGCTTCAGACTGGGCACCAATAGTAGGATCTTCCTGCTCACTGCAGCCTCGTTACTGAAAAGGGCTGTGGAGGCCAAGTCATTGAGCAGCTTTAAGACAGAGATAGGTAGGTTAATGATTGGTGAGGGGATCAAGGGTTACAGGAAGAATGGGGTTGAGAAACATATCAGCCATGATCGAAGGGCAGAGCAGACCTGATGGGCCGAATGGCCTAATTCGTATTTCTTACGGTTTTGGTCTCAGTCTCTACAATGGTCAGTTGAATTAAGAGCTGTGTTATTTGATAAGTTTTCTGTATCTATTCAAAGATGCATATCATGAGTTTTCTTTCAGTCCCTCTTTCTCTCCCCTTCAGTCTCTGTGACACTGGACCCGGACACGGCCAATCCCTGGCTCATCCTGTCAGATGGGGGGACCAGCGTGCGGGACAGCGACACCAGGCAAATGGGGGTCTACGATAACCCCGAGAGGTTCCAGGTCAGCCACTGTGTCCTGGCCTCGGGGGGCTTCTCCTCAGGCCAGCACTACTGGGAGGTGGAGGTAGGCCGCAAGGAGGCCTGGGAGTTGGGCCTAGCCACCGAGTCTATCAACCGCAAGGCCAAGGTGAGCGGGGTGCCCAACACTGGGCACTGGAGCCTGTCCCACCAGGGCAGAACAGAGTACCGGGCGGTGGATTGGCCTCCCCCTCCGCAGCCGCTGGAGCCAGGACCAGAGCTGACGATAGTGGGAGTCCTCCTGCTGTACAATCAGGGCCGAGTGTCCTTCTTCGATGCGGAGAGGCACCTGCACCTTTACACCTTCACAGCCAACCTCTCGGAGAAAGTGTACCCCTTCTTCTGCCCGGGGCTGTACAACTGGCAGACCAATGCAGAGCCCCTCCGCCTGCGCAACCCCAGAGCCTAGAGAAAGGTCGGGAGAGAGAGAGAGAGTTTGGACACGTCCCAACGTGGAGACGATAGGTCCCGGTCTTTTCCTGCTCCTGCACAGCCTTGGGAAGTAGACACTGAAGGCAGCAACTCGACAGAGCCATGGGCATATCCCGTTTAAATCCCGGGACACGGTGTGCAGGCAAAACCAGACAGTGCTGGAGAAACTCAGCATGCCCGGCTGGCTCCTTGGAGAGAGACGGAGTTTAATATCGTGGATCCGGTAACCTAGCTTCTGAAACGCCCAGTTTGTGACCATTGCAGAACCTGAAGCATTACGCAGCCACCAGAGCCCCTATTGCAACGTGGAAGACTGGTGGACATTGTTGGTGGGAGATTGCTGTGCACACAATAACATACTAATGTCCAGATGAATGGTTTCATCATGTATGGAGGTCCGATACATGTCAGTCCTATTACCATCACTAACAGGAGACAATCTAACCACCGCCCCTTGGCATTCAACGCTGTTACCATCACTGAATCCCCCACTATCAACATCCTGGGGGTTATCATTGACCAGAAACTCAACTGGACTCGCCACACAAACACAGTGGCTACGAGAGCAGGCCAGAAGCTAGGAATACTGTAGTGAGTAACTCACCTCCTGACTCCCCAAAGCCTGTCCCATCATCAACAAGGCACAAGTCAGAAGTGTGATGGAATACTCCCCAGTTGCCTGGATGAGTGCAGCTCCAAAAACAAAAGAAGTTTGACCCCATCCAGGACAAAACAGCCCGCTTGACTGGCATTGTATCCACAAGCATCCACTCCCTCCACCACCGATGCTCAGTAGCAGCAGTGTGTACTCTCTACAAGATGCACTGCAGAAATTCACCAAAGATCCTCAGACAGCACCTTCCAAACCCACGACCGCTTCCATCTAGAAGGACAAGGGTAACAGATACACGGGAACACCACCACCTCCAAGTTTCCCTCCAAGCCGCTCATCATCCTGACTTGGAAACATATCACTGTCACTGGGTCAAAATCCTGGAATTCCCTCCCTAAGGTCATTGTGGGTCAACTTACAGCGGGTGGACTGCAGCAGTTCATCATCATTTGGGGGACATCCATACCCCAAAAAGGGATAAAAGCAGAAAAAAAAAAAGTCTTGGATGTATGCCTGTCCAGGTGCTGTATGTGTCAGTCCTGGGTGTACATAGTTCTGAAGAAAGGTTATTGGACTCAAATTTTTAACTCTTTTTCTCTCCATGGATTGCTGATTTTTTTTTTCATGAATTTGTTTTTGCTCATTTCCGATCCATTACCATATCCTTGAGGCAGAGTTGAGGGGCTAATCATTAGATTTTCTTTAATACTTTTTTAAAAACTCAATTTGGTTTTGAACGGTGACCCTTGAACTGTGGTCAGCAATTTGTGCAGATAAAAGGAACAAACTATTGTTTCTTTGTGAAACCAAGCCTGGAAGTTAATTGCAAGTTTATTCTTATTAAAAAGTGCTCCATAGATGCTTTGACGCTGGAGCAGCAGTATGCTTAACCAGAAAGCAGAGATATTTGGCCATTAGTGAGGTCAGTGCCTGGAAATTGGTTCCAGCAAGTCTGGAAGAGACACTATTCTCAAGTGAACGATAAGTTGGATCTCACAGAGGAGGCAGTCAGTCTGACAGGGAGAGGTCAGAGTCTTGAACTGGGTTTTGGACTCTTCTAGGGAGGAGTCTGGCTATTGATACTATAGGTTGCAGATTTGAAAATTCCCTGCCTGACCCTCCAATACCTGATAACAGGCATTCTCAGACCAGAAACTCTGTTTTAAGCATCATGGACTTCCTCTGAACGAGTGAAAAGGTTTGACTGTTTTTGTTTGTCTGTCCTGGAGTGATTTTCTTTGTCTGTCGTTGAGGAAAGCAAAATTATTGGGTTTAAAATCATTGACAATTATTTTAATTTTGCTCTGATAAAGTCACTGTATTGCTAATAAATTGCCAAGTCTTTTGTTTAAACTGCAAAGATGGTTTCTAGAATGGATTATTCAGAGCCTGGGATTGTTTATTCCAAAGTTTGTGAAGGAACCATTGCGGTTAATTGAGGGTCTTTGAAGGATTTAATTTGGTTGTGTTGTGAATGCAGAAGCTGATTGATTTGGTTGCCTGTCTCTATGCTGGAACACTAATACTTAATAGAGAAAGGGACTCAATCTGACTGTCACTAGACAAGAAATTAAAATCATGGCTGCTTAAAAAGTCACTTGACCAGCCTGCTGCCACCTCCAGGCCAATTACAGTGAGACATAGCCAGCAAAGGAAAGTCTGGATTTTGTGATCTCTCGAAAGATTGTAAATTGGGAATTGACTGGATGCTGAGGACCACAGGTGGGAGATGAGCTTGCTCCAGAATGCTAGTGCCTAATGCAAAACATGTACCCGTTCTATTCTGCATCAGCAGAAGCAGCGATCTTAGCTTGTCACCAGTTTTAAAAAAAGAGGCAAGCTCCCTCAGCAGAGAGATTCCATCTTGAAGGAATCCTGCTGAGAAATCTCTCCAAGCACTCATGGTCGGGTCTTGCGCCACTGAGCAATAAAAGGGGCTGCAATTGATGGCTTCCTGTTCAGTGATCTCCTCTCCCTCCTCAACAACCTGCTGTACCAACAGTATGAGCAAAAAACAAATCTTACTACAGAAGTCATCCTAGTTTGCTGGATTTGACTTCATACTGACCTCTTCAGTGATAAGTGACGGAAGCAACAGGCCCCAGTGGAATATGGCAGTGACTGGGATTTTTTTGATCTTTTGCCTTGTTTTAAGCTGTGTCTGTAATTTATTGTTAAAATCTTTTGTCTCTCTGCCCCTGGGGAGCTCTCAAGTAATAAGCTGTAACCTTTAGTTTATTTCAACACTGTGACTGCTGGTCTGTTTTACAAATTAAAGCAGGGGGTTGTCTGTAGGAGCTATATTAGCCTATAGTTCCTGCACCCAATGCCCGCTAGACATGGCACCTGCTACAACATTGCCCCACTCTCTCTGCACTCCCCATTTCTGGTTTCTTGTACTTGCATGATTTGATTCACCCTACTGTTACCCTGGGGGTGGGGGTTGCAGGAGAACATGATAAGCCACCATCGTATTCGAGCTCAAAAGGCTGAATAGCAATTTCTGTGACCAGGCCTGAGGGGAAGTTGAGGGGCGTGGAAGAGGGGAGGCGAAGTTGAGGCATACAGGGTCCAAGTGCCCCGGGCCCTTGCAATTGTGAGCAAGTTTGATGCTAGTGAACAACAAAAGGAGGCTCCCAGTTCCTTCCATCTTTAACAGGGTGGGCAGCCTGTCCGCTCAGCACTTAGCACTGCTGCCAGGGACCTGGGTTCGATTCCACCCTCAGACAACTGTCCAGGTGGAGGTTGTACATTGTCCCTGTCTCTGCTCTGGTTTCCTCCCACAGCCCAAAGTTCACAGAATCCCTACAGTGTGGAAACAGGCCCTTCAGCCCAACAAGTCCACACTGACCCTCAGAGCATCCCATCCCCCTATAACCCACTTAATCTGCACATCCCTGAACACACACTATGGGCAATTTAGCATGGCCAATCCACCTAGCCTACACATCTTTGGACTGTGTGAGGAAACCCACGCAGACACGGGGAGAACGTGCAAACTCCGCACAGTCAGTCACCCGAGGGTGGATTCGAACCCGGGTCCATGGTGCTATGAGGCAGCAATGCTAACCACTGAGCCACCGTGCCGCCCCTGTGCAGGGATAGGGTGGGTTGGCCGTGCTAAATTGCCCACATCATCCAGGGATGTGCAGGCTGGGTGGGTCAGCCACGGGAAATGCAGGGTTACAGGCGTAGGACGCTCTTCGGAGGGGCGATGCAAACTCGATGGGCCGAACGGCCTGCGGTGGTGGGGGGGGCGCTGTACCATCTCCCGCGGGCACCCGCAACACAAAGTCTGCCGTCACTCCGCGCATGTCCAAGCCACGAGTCACTTTAATAAAGATACAGCAACGTCACAATGGAGGGGAGGGGGTCTGTGCGGATTGGTTGGTGGGGGTGTGGGGGCGGAGCCGCACTTCCACCGGGAGGTCGCGCCCAGCTAGGGGGCAGTGTTGAGGGAGGTTACAGCTTCAGGGTGCAGAGTCGCAGCCCCTCGGCGTTGCCGGGGCAACTGGTCAGGTAAGGGCTGAAGTAGGGGAAGAGACGCTCGCTGAAGGTGTCCCTGAAGGTGTACAGGTGAGACATGTCGTCCGCGTTGTAGAAGGACACCTGGCCGCCCTCGAAGTCCAGGTAGACGCCCACCTTCCTGGGCTTGGTTGCGGGGGCCAGCGGCACGGCCGGCCAGTCCAGGGCCTTGTACTGGTCGCCGTCCCGCAGCCAGAGCGTCCAGTAGCCATCCACCGGCGACAGGGTGATGCGGCCTTTCCTGCGCACCGACTCGCGGGCCACGCCCAGGTCCCAGGCCGTCTTGGTGCCCACCTCCACCTCCCAGTAGTGCCGGCCCGACCTGAAGCCCTGCGCCGCCAGGATGTTGACGCACGGCCCGAAGCGCTCCGGCCCCTGCGGCTGCTGGTTGCTGTCGGTCAGCCTGACGTGGGTCAGGTCCTCGGACACCAGGAGGCGCTGGTGGGCTGACTCGGGGTCCAGTGTCAGAGCCTCAGGGGCTGGAAGGCGGGGGGGAAGAGAGAGAGGCAGAGTCTGGGTCATACAGCACGGAAACAGACCCTTCAGCCCAACCAGCCCATGCTAACCCTCATCCCAAACTAATCTCGTTCCACCTGCCCGTTCCTGGCCCCTCTCCCAAGCTTTCCTAATCACGTATTTATTAAAATGTTCTTCAAGTGTTGTAACTGTACCTGCATCTGCATCCACCACTTCCTCTGGCGGTTCATTCCACACACAAACCACCCTCTACGTAGAGCATAGAACATTACAGCGCAGTACAGGCCCTTCGGCCCTCGATGTTGCGCCAACCGGTGAAACCAATCTGAAGCCCATCTAACCTAAACTATTCCGTTATCATCCATATGTTTATCCAATGACCATTTAAATGCCCTTAAAGTGGGCGAGTCTACTATTTTTGCAGGCAGGGCATTCCACACCCTTACTACTCTCCGAGTAAAGAACCTACCTCTGACATCTGTCCTATATCTATCACCCCTCAATTTAAAGCTATGTCCCCTCAGGCTAGCCATCACCATCCGAGGAAAAAGGCTCCCACTGTCCACCCTATCTAATCCTCTGATCATCTTGTATGTCTCTATTAAGTCACCTCAACCTTCTCTCTAACGAGAACAGCCTCAAGACCCTCAGCCTTTCCTCATAAGACCTTCCCTCCATACCAGGCAACATCCTGGTAAATCTCCTCTGCACCCTTTCCAATGCTTCCACATCCTTCCTATAATGCGGTGACCAGAACTGTACGCAATACTCCAAGTGCGGCTGCACCAGAGTTTTGTACAGCTGCAACATGACCTCATGGCTCCGAAACTCAATCCCTCTACCAATAAAACCTAACATACTGTACGCCTTCTTAACAACGCTATCAACCTGGGTGGCAACTTTCAGTGATCTATGCACATGGACACCGAGATCTTTCTGCTCATCCACACTACCAAGAATCTTACCATTAGCCCAGTACTCTGTATTCCTGTTACTCCTTCCAAAGTGAATCACCTCACACTTTTCCGCATTAAACTCCATTTGCCACCTCTCAGCCCAGCTCTGCAGCTTATCTATGTCCCTCTGTAACCTGCAATATCCTTCCGCATTATCCACTACTTCACCGACTTTGGTGTCATCCGCAAATTTACTAACCCATCCTTCTACGCCCTCATCCAGGTCATTTATAAAAATGACAAACAGCAGTGGCCCCAAAACAGATCCTTGAGGTACACCACTAGTAACTGAACTCCAGGATGAACATTTCCCATCAACCACCACCCTGTCTTCTTACAGTTAGCCAATTTCTGATCCAAACCGCTAAATCACCCTCAATCCCATGCCTCCGTATTTTCTGCAATAGCCTACCATAGGGAACCTTATCAAACGCTTTACTGAAATCCATATACACCACATCAACCACTTTACCCTCATCCACCTGTTTGGTCACCTTCTCAAAGAACTCAACAAGGTTTGAGGCATGACCTACCCTTCACAAAACCATGTTGACTATCCCTAATCAAATTATTCCTTTCTAGATGATTATAAATCCTATCTATCTCTTATAATCCTTTCCAACACTTTACCCACAACCAAAGTAAGGCTCTATAATTACCAGGGTTGTCTCTACTCCCCTTCTTGAACAAGGGGACAACATTTGCTAGTCTCCAGTCTTCTGGCACTGTTCCTGTAGACAATGACAACAAAGATCAAAGCCAAAGGCTCTGCAATCTCCTCTCTAGCTTCCCAGAGAATCCTAGGATAAATCCCATCCAGCCCAGGGGACTTATCTATTTTCACACCTTCCAGAATTGCTAACACCTCCTTATGAACCTCAATCCCGTCTAGTCTAATAGCCTGTATCTCAGTATTCTCCTCAACAACATTGTCTTTTTCCTGTGTGAATACTGACAAAAAATATTCATTTAGCACCTCTCCTATCTCTTCGGACTCCACGCACAACTTCCCACTACTGGCCCTTGACTGGCCCTAATCTTACTCTAGTCATTCTTTTATTCCTGACATACCTATAGAAGTGTAAAAAAAAATAAAGTTGCCCCTCATGTTCTTTCTCCTCTCACCTTAAAATATGCCCCCAAGTTTTGAATTCCCCCACACTAAGAAAAAGACCCTTGTCACTCACCTTATCTACACCCCTCATTATTTTGTAAACCTCTATAAGGTCACTCCTCAACCTTCTACACTCCGGTGGAAAGAATCCCAGACTATCCAGCCTCTCCTTATAACTCAAACCCTCCATTCCCCAGCAACGTCCTGATAAATCTTCTCTGAACCCTCTCCAGCTTAATAATATCCTTTCTATAACAGGGCAACCAAAACAGGACACAGTAATCCAAAAGAGGCCTCACCAATGTCCTGTACAACCTCAACATGACATCCCAACTCTTATACTCAAAGGTTGAGCAATGAAGGCAAGTGTGCTAAACACCTTAACACCCCGTCTACATGTGACAAACCTCAAAAAATTACATACCTGAACCACTATGTGTCTGTTCTACAGCAGTACCCAAGATCCAACTTATACAATTAAAAGTCCTGCCCTTGTTTGTTTTACCAAAATGCAATACCTTGCATTTATCCAAATTAAACTCCATCTGCCACTCCTCAGCCCATACCACAGACCACTGACCTTCAGGCAATCCCAGTATCACAGCCCAAGAAATGGCCATTCAGCCCATCATGTGGGCAAGGAATGATCACATGCCATTCGGCCCATCGATCCTGCTTGCCCTCCCTCCGCCCTTCAATAAAATCATGGCTAATCTAATTTCAATCCCAATTCTACTTTCCTGCACACCCCACCCAATAATCTTTCAACCACCTTGGTCACCAAGACTGCATCTACTTCTACCTTCAAAATAAAGAAGGACCCTACTTTTCAGGAAGTGTTCCAAAGAGACAACCTTCAAAAAAAAAATACACTCAGTCGCTTAAGTGGATGACCACTGATTTTTAAATGGTGTCACTTAGTTCTGGATTCTCCTATAGGTAAACTTCCTCACCACATCTATCTTGTCAGGACTTCTCAGAATCTTAAATATTTTAATCATTAAACCCTTGACCAGATCTTCCTTTCCTGACATCCAGAAATAGAGTCATACAGCCAGAGCTGTACAGCACTGAAACAGACCCTTCAGTCCAACTTGTCCATGCTGGCCAGATATCTTCAATTAATCTAGTCCCATTTGCCAGCATTTGGCCTGTATCCCTCTAAACCCTTCCTATTCATAAGCCCATCCAGATGCCTTTTAAATGTTGTAATTGTACCAACCTCCACCACTTCCTCTGGCAGCTCATTCCATACACACATCACCCTCTGCGTGGAAAAGTTGCCCCTTCGGTCCCTTTTAAATCTTTCCCCTCACCTGAAACCTATGCCCTCTAGTTTGGACTCCCTTGCCCTGGGGAGAAGGCCTGGTTTATTCACCTTATCCATGTCCATGATTTTATAAACCTAAGGTCACCCCTCAGCCTCCGACACTCCGGGTCAAGAAGCCCCAGCCTATTTAGCCTCTCCCTGTAGCTCAAACCCTCCAATCCCAGCAACATCCTTGTAAATCTTTTCCATACCTTCAAGTTTCACAACATCTTTCCATCGCAGGAAGGCCAGAATTGAATGCAGTATTCCAAAAGTGGCCTGACCAATGTCCTGTACAGCTGCAACATGACCTCCCAACTCTCATACTAAATGAACTGACCAATGAAGGGGTCCCAGCCCTTTCAGTTTTTCTGTAGACGAAAGTCTCTCCCGTCCTGGTATTTTCCTAGCAAAGCATTTCTCCCACTCCTAAGCTGCCTGTGTCACTGTTGATCACAAATAGAGTCGGACTTGTTCGCTGTGCAGCAAACATGTTCCATCCCAAACTCCAGGACTACTTTTAGGGCAACACACTTTCAATTCTCTACCTCCAGAAATGAGTTGACTCATTTCTGGATGAGTCAGAATGAGCAATAAATGCTGACCCAGCCAGCAATACCAACATCTCATGAAGTCTTCTTATAAATAATAGATTTTATCTTATTTTATCTGTAATCTGTGTTTTATATTTATGAGTGTTTTAAATAAATAAAACAGGTGGACTGCAGCAGCTCAAGTAGGGAGCTTACTAGCACCTTGAGAGCAACTAGGGACAGGTAACGAATGCTGGTTCAGCTAGTGATACCCACAACCCACAAATGAATAAAGCAGCTCTTTTGAAACAATCTGATATCTGTATCCCTTCTGCTCCATCACCAACACCAGCCCCAACCCAGTTAGAATTGAATTCTTCATAAAGTGTGGCACTCCGTACTCCTGCTTTGTCTCCACCCAGTTCTGATTTTCAAACTCGCTTGCTGTTCACTCTCCCATTCCAATAGCAAAAAGGAAGACACATTCACATGGATATCAATAACACCAAACTGTAACCCTCCCACCCCCGATCTGCTCAGGATATTGCTAATGTGTGTGGGAATCTTGCTGTGTATGAACTTGCTGCTGAGTTTCCTACGTCACAATAGTGAATACTTCAAAAAGCTCCTTACCAGTCATCACTCTCTGGGTGAAGACATAT